TTCCAAATGGTCAGTCCGCCCTTGCTGTCGACTGAATGTAACTTAAGAGTCCGTTGCTGATATCACTGACCAAATTTTCCCATATTTGGTAAGTGGTTATATTTGGTCAATGACATCAGCAACCATTCCTGCCCTTTCTTTACAAACGAACTGTCAGCCAGGAATTTGTCATTCTCTGAGGAGTAGTGACAGGAGCAGGCATTTCAGTGGGTCTGCAAGTTGCTTCTTTTAGTGGGTCAGCAAGCACCGTGCATTATAATTGAAGAGGATCTACATTACAGGCCTTTTTTCTTTATAATTATGAACTTGTCAAAGCATGTTTGTGTCTTTATTTCCTGTTTATGTTTTGAATGAATGTATGTACCCTTTATTTACATAGGGGAAAAGGGCCATATCTGGCAGGCCTCTTTATTTTATAAAGGGACTTCCAGATTCCAATAAGATCTCTGCCCACAGACCCCCACAACCACTGGGCCAGGGTTGTGGGGAAAGGGCCCCTGTACTTATCAATATAAGGGCCAATGTGCTTTGTCAGCGGGTCCTCCCTGACAAGGTATGCTACCCATGTTGAAGGCATGTGACCTGGTATAGTTCAGAGGGGTGCACACTCGTCACCCTCCCTCTTCTTGGCCAGCAAGCCTACATACTTTAGTGAAAGTTTAGTAAGACGTTTATGGGGAGCATGCCTTTTTTTTTGGACGTTTGTTGCATGGGTTTCCCCCCAAAAACCCATAACAGACCACCATCAAGGATAAAGGGTCTGGCATGAATTTTGGGAGAGAAACCCCACAACAGCTTTTTAATTATTATTGTAAAGGAATTGGGCATTTTTGATGTTTCATTTTAAGCATTATAAAAATCACTGCTACCCACCAAAATGTGTTTTTTCTCTTAGTGCATACTCCCCAAGGCAGTACCCAGCCACCCATGCCATTTGGTAGACAATCCCTTGGCTATTAGCTTTGACTTCAAAGGAGTTTGGATTAACATTCTGTGAACCTTTCATAAACCCAACCCAGGTATGCTCAGAGCATCCCTAATGGTGACATGGTTTCTAAATTTCACTTAATCTACTGCTTTCTGAAAAACGTACTGTGAATATATGTAAAGGCAGGGCATTTTTTGTTCAAAGAATAAGTACAGGTACTACCCCCTTCTGACTCACCCCTTGTCTCTGCCCCCTACCCACCTCTGAGCATTGTCCCTTGGTTCCACACCCTACCCACCTCCCAGTACTGCCCCATTTACATAATATAGAACCAAGTATCATTTTGCCATGCTAAGTAATTAGTATGAAGTTTGTTAAACCACAAGAAAGGCAGTAAAATAAACCCCCCAACAACAGTACACCACCCAGCAACAGTAGATCTCCCAGCAACAATAGAACCTCCCAGCAACAATTGATCCACCCCATCAACAATAGACCCCCATTAACAACAATAGACCTCCCAGCAGCAAGCAACAATAGACTCTTTCTTCAACAGGAGATCCTTCCAACCAAAAACAGACCCCTTCAGCAACATAAACCCCCTTTCAGTACTGGAGGTGCAAGAACCACATTCCCCGCATTCCTGCTGAAAAAAGTAAAGGGGTCTTTAAAGGGCTGTTGTCAATCTCTCTGAAGGAATCTATGGTCACAGCTTACAGTTTCATGTGTATTGTAATAGCAGTTCAGATAATAGTTACTGTATATTTTACAATTCAATATTAGCTTATTTGAAAAGTTTCCTTTCCTGTTGTTAGTTCTGCGCCTGTCTGCTGACTTCTCTTTCCACAACTTGCATGCTATGCCACTTCTTCTCTGGTGTTTTTTGCTTTCAGACACTAATGACTACATATCCCATGGTACCTTGCTGCCTGCAAGCAGTGATTCCTGTACTGATTCCTCTTCCTGAAAAACCTCCTCTGAGCACCTCTGTAGATCAGAAGGCAGGCTCTTTGAAATGTGTGACACAGCGATGCCTACTCACAGGTCATAGTGAATACGTGTCACAGAATTCCAGGAAGTAAATGTGTAATGATCTTCACATAGTTTAAAAATTTGAGGATTTCTTGAATTAATAAGAGTAGGCTAGAAATAATTGAAATACAATATGGAAATGAATACATGATTTTACATTTTGACCATAGCAACACAGTAAAGAGTTTTCTGTGTGGCATGCACTCTTTGATTATTAGAATTCCCTGGTCAAGAGAGAGCACATCAGAATGCATGATGTGGTGTGATACTCTGGAGACATGGAAGAATGAAGGCACCAAGTAGTCAGGCTCTGGGCTCCTCCAAACTGGAGGAAGGTAGAATGGGACCGTTATTATTATTATTATACAGTATTTATAAAGCGCCAATAGTTCGCTCAGCGCTGTACATTACAAAGGGGGACAGAACATGTGACAGAACAATACCAATACAATGCAAAACATGAGGGGATCGAGGGCCCTGCCCTTTCAAGCTTACAATCTAGGAGGGAGGGGATGGTGGCACAGGAGGAGATAGCTGTGGGGAATGGAGTGGTAGGAAGAGTGGAGGAGGTCGGCAGGTTAGCAGGGGGTGGGGTAGGCTTCCCTGAAGAGGTGGGTTTTCAGGGTGTGCCTAAAGGAGAGGAGAGTAGGTGATAATCTAATGGGTTGGGGCAGGGAGTTCCAGAGGATGGGTGACATCCTGGAGAAGTCCTGGAGGCGGGCATGGGAGGAGGAGACCAGGGAACTAGAGAGAAGGAGGTCTTGTGAGGAGCGGAGTGTGCGTGCTGGACGGTACTTGGATATTAGGTCAGTGATGTAGTTCGGGGCAGTATGTTGGACAGCTTTGTATGTCAGCGTTAGGATTTTGAATTTGATCCGTTGTGCAATTGGAAGCCAGTGTAGGGATTGGCAGAGGGGGGTGGGAATGGCAGAATGGGACCGTTGACTGTGTTCCCTCTGGAAGCCTCTGTGGAGGTGAATCAAGCAGGGAAAGGTGTTGGTCCCCCACTCAAAGTAACAGGTTCAATAGAGTATTCCTGATGAAACTTTGAACCCTTAACCCTTGATAAAAAGTTTCTTATTCTGTGAAGACTACAGACATAGGGACTTTGATCACTTCTTATGCACCATAAAAGAACACCTGGTCTGAAGGTTATGCAGTTATTTCAATGGAGAAAAGGGGTTGACTAGGGACATAAACAGGCTAGGAGTTCAGAGGACCAGTGGAGAAACATCTATGGCTTTGTTGTATGGGGCCTAGTAAAGTCTTGTCCATGACAAATGAAAATATGTAGAGTTGGGCACACCAAAAGAGTTTGTGAAACTCATCTGTAGTGCTGCAGCGAGAGAAACTTCCAGATAAGCATCCGGAGAAGAATTTCCACTTTGACGTTGCATGATTTCTACCTAGGGAAGGTTATCCCTCTGATATATGGCCATTCCCCTGTAAACCACAGATGATTTGTGAAAGACCATGATTCTGTATAAATTTTTGATTCATTGTTCTTGTCGGATCAGCTAATGCTCGAAACAGACTTTTTAAAGTAAACTGGTTATGCCAGTGCACCTATTAAAATGACAGCAGGATTTGAAATCAGGCAAGTCAGGTGTGCATATATCTTGAAGTTTTGTGAGGATCCAAACCCAGGGTCACTGCAGTGGCTCTTCCTATCAAGTCACCTGAAGCTCTGGGTAGTATCTTGTCTGATCCCTTTGTCAGTCTTCATTGATGCCCAATTTCTTGCTGAAGTTTGAACTCTTCCCTTGAACTTCCTGTTTGCCAGATTATTGTGCTTATGCCAATATATTTTTTGCTATTGCTAACCTGCATCCTTATTAACTCTACTGATGTGCTGATTTTTGTCTGCCAATTCACCGACCACTCTTTATCACTCTCCATTTCAAACCTAATTTCTTTGGCTGAAGACTTTGGCTTGATCTCTGACTACACTTTTGCTCGTTGCTATACTGCTCCTATTACTACTTATGTACCATATCCAGCCTGTTAATAACTTGGAACTTGCCAGCTGTTGCAGATACTGAAATACAAACCTGATCCCAGTTTGTGACTAGTATTCACACCAGTTTGCAGGAAACCCTAATCATGGGGCGCTGTTCTTCACAGGAGGAAGTTGACATCTGGTACCTCTGACTGGTTTACTAAAGTCAGAGCAGTACAAAATAGATTTTAATTGCTTGCCATGGCTCATGAAATTGTAAAATGCTGTTCCATAGCCATTCCATTGTGCCATCACAGGGAGTTAGACATTGGCTTCTCTTCAGGGTCCTACTTTCTCTAAAACCCACTGTCAGGCCCCAGCTATGAACCTGCAACCTCTGCTGGTCTGGTGATGTATCTTCTTGCTGAGCTACTTGAGGTACTGGACAGCAGCCTCTCTGATCCATCGGACAATCCTGCCTTGTGCCTTGCTCCTTCCATGAACTTCCTATTTAAGCCATGCCTTTGCACTTCTTGTTTACCAGATTATTGTGCTCTCTCCAGCCAATATCCCACTCTTGTCACTCCTGATGCTGTCTGTATCTCCTCTACTACTCATTACCGACCTTTGGATTGTTCCTCAACTATGCTTCTGGTTAATCTCAAGCTGAGACCATGTGTTAACAACCTTTGGCTTGTTTACTGACTATGCTTCTGCTTGATCCCTACCTGCTTATATTTGCTACTGGACCCCGGCTTGCTCACCTGCTGGTGGGGAGATCCCGAGGAACACAATCTGGTACAAACACACAGCAAAACCCATCTCCACCATCAGGAGCTTTGGTGTCACGATCCGCCTGGCGGCGTCTCTATTGGTCCACAGCACGGATTTCCTCAGGGCGCGGGGTCTAAGTCCCAATCTGCTTATTCACCAGGGCCCCTGATGGTGGGGATGGACTTGGAGCAGACTGAGACCAGGTCACGACCCCTGAGTACGTCCGACAATGGTAGAGAGCACCGTCAGAGGAGTGCGGGGTAAGGAGTCTGCTGTGAAGAGGCTGGCAGATCTGGTAACCAGGGACGATCCCTGCGGGATGGATGGATGGATCGTCTGGGTGGCTGGAAGCGTAGTCAGGCGGGCCAGGTCAGCAACGTGCGGGCAGCGAGGTACCGGAGGAGAAGGCAGAGAATGGTCGAGGTCACAAGCCGGGTTCAAAACCTAGCGGACAGCGTGGTACAAGGGGTCAGGCAGAAGGATGGTCAGGCAAGCCAAGGGTTAAGCAGGATACAATCAGCAGGGTCAGGTACAAAGCAGAGGTCGGCAACGGAGTAACACAGGATCAGGTATCAGGAACAGTGCACAAAAGAGCAAACGGCAATTTGAAATACCTCTATTCACATTTAATAGCCCGCCCTGCGCTGTCATTGGTGCCAGGCGTGTGTCCGCGATCGCGAGTGCGCATGCGCGGCCATCATGATCGCCGGGTCCCGCTGCCCGCTGATTAGAATGCATCGGTGTCCTGCGCATGCGCTGCCCGGCGTATCGCGGCAGGGACACCGATCCCTGACATCTGGTGAACAACGGCTAGTGCTTTGACTCCGCACCTTGGGTGAGCCCGTGTCATCTGCCACATATCCAACTGATTGGTGGGAGCTTCTCTACTGCTATAGCTACTGATCACCGAGCCTGACCCCTGACTGTGACACCAACCCTGGGTAAAAATATGGTCTAATTGTAAAATTGTTGACACCTAATAAACATCCGCAGAATGATGAAAGATAATTAATTATGCATTATCTCTTCTTTATGATTATACCCGCGAGTGAAAATGAAAGTTAAACTAAACCCTCCTATCCTTTATTGCCAAGGAAGCTGTCATGTTAGCTTCTACTTGATCTGCAGTTGCAACGGTGCTGCACATCAGTTGTGACACCAGCCACTGGATGACTTGATAGTTCAGTTGAGAACTCAAACAACTGTGACAGTTATCAATCACTGCATGCCTTGAATGTTCCACTTTAAAGTGGTTGTAAAGGCTCAAGTTTTTTTACCTTCATGCATTCTCTGCATGAAGGTAAAAAACCTTCTATGTGCAGCAGTGCCCCCAGCCCAATACTTACCTGAGCACCATCGCGATCCAGCAATGTGCACGACAGCCACGGCTATCCCGGGTTTCTTCCTCTTCATTGGCTGAGACAACAAGCGGGAGTCATTGACTCCCACTGCTGTCAATCACAGCCAGTCAGCCAATTGGTAGAGATAGGGGGTGGGACCAAACCACGGCTCCGTGTGTGAATGGACACAGGAGGGAGGGACCTGAGAAGAGGAGGATTCAGGCTACTGCGTGTGTGAATGGACACAGGAGGGAAGGACCTGAGAAGAGGAGGATTCAGGCTACTGCAAAACCACTACACATACAGTAGCAGGTAAGTATTGCATGTTTGTTATTTTACAAAAAATAAGAACTTTTAGTAACGCTTTAAGTGCCAGTCACCTAGATCACACTTAGATGGCATACCCCATGTCAGGGCTCCAGGTATGACCAGAGGTGTGTGGACTGACACAGGGAAACGCAGGCTTCAGATATGGTATAAACAATATAATTTATTAAGACTAACAATACAAAACGCAGTGCAAAACTAAACATAAACATAGTGCAAACAAACCAAACCACCCACCGATAACAATACATACAATACAGAGTAGTCAGGCAGGCCGGGTCAGTAGCAAACGGGCAAACGGAGTACCAGGAACAGGCGGGAGAGTGGTCGGGGTCACAAGCTGGGTTCAGTAACTCATGGGCAGCGCGGTACAGAGGGTCAGGCAGAGAATGGTCAGGGTCACAAGCCAGGGATCAAGCAGGAGAAGTCAGCAGAGGTCAGGATCAGGCAGGGTCGGCAACAAGTCAGACAGAAACAGGAACAGGAATACAGGATACAAGGTACAGGGGCCCATGGAAAACACACACCAAGGCCTTGACTGTGAGTCTGGCCATTCCTTAAATACAACCCCTGCAATCATCTTCAGGTGTTTGGCTGATTGCAGGGGTGAGTCTCTGATTGCTGAGAGCACCCGCTGGCCAGCCCTGGTACTGCAGCCCACAAGGCAGGTGAGTCCCACCATTATTGGCAAGTCCATTCCTGACACCCCGTCACCATTTTTACTTGTTGTTATCTCAGCCCTATTATGTGATTGTGGTCACCTGTTAAAAGATGATCAGTTAATTAAATCTTTTGCATTTTTTGTATGTTTTGTCTGTTGTAATTACTAAACTGATCTTATGTTTGTGAGATTTATATTTACAGTATATTATGAAGAATATAACAGGAGGTGCTCAAAGTCGGAAACACTTATACCTCCCAGGAGGATAGAAACAGAATCAAGAAATATAGCAGGGGGATCTTATTGTTGGAGTGTTGAAAACATTGGAAGACTCCCACAGAAGAAGCCCACAGACTCCACTACTTTTGGATGCACATAACTTTAACATTTTATTACTTTTTCTTATGTGTCATTTTAAAACTAATATTAAGGGAGTGCACCTTGGCAGAATGGCCCCTGGTCCTTTTGAGTCCTAGTAAAACCTCTGTAGATTGCCAAGGCATACTGCAATATGTACATTTTTTACACTACGTTATGGAAAAAACCCATTTGTGCCACTGTGACAAATGGAAGGACGTACATATACCGCAATCAAACGTAAGACGCCTCTACTCTATTGTTTCCATATATATGCTGCTGAGTTCAATTTTATACCCCACTGGGCACTGTTATGCACAGATAAAGGGTGTCATTTTGCACATGAGGAATTCTATGAAAACAAGAAAAAAAAAATGGACTGTTCGTTAGTGACTTAAGCAGAAATTCTAAGGCTCACAGTGAAAAGCATACTGGTGTCTTGAAAGAGTAAATAAAAGATTTGTGAATTTTACAGAAAATGTCAGGTGTGGCTTTAGCCTATAGTGCATATATTCCATTTTAAATTATTACCAATGTACAGGCTTACCTACAAACTGTTAATTCTGGACTCCAGGCACAAAAGCTTTCATTTAAATATTTTCCTCAATAGCCACAATGGATATACAGGTGAAACTCGAAAAATTAGAATATCATGCAAAAGTTCATTTATTTCAGTAATGCAACTTAAAAGGTGAAACTAATATATGAGATAGACTCATTACATGCAAAGCAAGATAGTTCAAGCCATGATTTGTCATCATTGTGATGATTATGGCTTACAGCTCATGAAAACCCCAAATCCACAATCTCAGAAAATGAGAATATTACATGCAATCAATAAAACAAGGATTGTACATAGAGCAATATCGGACCTCTGAAAAGTAGAAGCATGCATATGTACTCAGTACTTGGTTTGGGCCCCTTTTGCAGCAATTACTGCCTCAATGCGGCATGGCATGGAAGCTATCAGCCTATGGCACTGCTGAGGTGTTATGGAAGACCAGGATGCTTCAATGGCGGCCTTCAGCTCTTCTGCATTGTTCGGTCTCATGTCTCTCATCTTTCTCTTGGCGATGCCCCATAGATTCTCTATGGGGTTCAGGTCAGGTGATTTTGCTGGCCAATCAAGCACGGTAATCCCACGGTCATTGAACTAGGTTTTGGTGCTTTTGGCAGTGTGGGCAGGTGCCAAGTCCTGCTGGAAAAAGAAGTCAGCATCCCCGTAAAGCTCGCCTGTGGAAGGAAGCATGAAGTGCTCCAAAATCTCCTGGTAGACGGCTGCGTTGACCCTGGACTTAATGAAGCACAGTGGACCAACACCAGCAGATGACATGGCTCCCCAAATCAACACAGACTGTGGAAACTTCACACTGGACTTCAAGCATCTTGCAGTGTGTGCCTCTCCATTCTTCCTCCATACTCAGGGTCCTTGGTTTCCAAATGAGATGCAAAAGTTGCTCTCATCAGAAAAGAGGACTTTGGACCACGGAGCAACAGACCAGGTCTATTTTTCTTTAGCCCAGGTAAGACTCTTCTGATGTTGTTTGTTGTTCAGGAGCAGCTTGACAAGAGGAATACGACATTTGAAGCCATGACCAGGATCCGTCTGTGTGTGGTGGCTCTTGATGCACTGACTCCAGCCTCAGTCCACTCCTTGTGAAAGTCCCCAACTCTTTTGAATGGCCTTTTCCTGACAATCCTCTTTAGGCTGCGGTCATCCCCGCTGCTTGTGCACCTTTTTCTTCCACACTTTTCCCTTCCACATAACTTTCTATTAATGTGCTTTGATACAGCACTTTGGGAACATCCAGCTTCTTTTGCAATTACAGTTGCAAGAAAAAGTATGTGAACCCCTTGGGATTACGTGGAGTTTTGCATGAATTGGGCATAAAATGTGCTCTGAACGTCATCTAAGTCACAACAATAGAAGAACACAGTCTGCTGAACATAATACTACACAAACATTAGATGTTGCCATGGTTTAATTGCACATAACATGTAAACATTCACAGTGCAGGGAGGAAAAAGTATGTGAGGCCCTAGCTTAATGACTTCTCCCAGAGCTAATTGGAGCCAGGAGTGAACCAACCTTGACTCCAATCAGTGTGATGATATTGGATGTGTTGCTGACAGCTGTCCTGCCCTTATAAAACACACAACTGTTTTGGGTTTACTGGTTTCAAGAAGCACTGTCTGATGTGAACCATGCCTCACAGAAAAGAGCTCTCAGAAGACCTACCATCAAGAATTGTTGACTTGCATGAAGCTGGAAAGGGTTACAAAAGTATCTCCAAAAGCCTTGATGTTCATGTGTCCACGGTTAGACAGATTGTCTACAAATGGAGAAAGTTTAGCACTGTTGCTACTCTCCCTAGGCGTGGTCGTCCTGTAAAAATGACTGCAAGAGCACAGCGCAGAATGCTGCATGAGGTAAAGAAGAATCCCAGAGTGTCAGCTAAAGACCTACAGAAATCTCTGGCACATGCTAACATTTTTGTTGACACATCTACAATAAGGAAAACATTAAACAAGAATGGAGTACATGGGAGGACACCACGGAGGAAGCCATTGCTGTCCAAAAAGAAGATTGCAGCACGTTTGAAGCTTGCAAAAGAGCACCTGGATGTTCCACAGCACTACTGGCAAAATATACTGTGGACAGATGAAACCAAGATTGAGTTGTTTGGGAAGAACACACAACACTATGTGTGGAGAAAAAAAGGCACAGCACACCAACATCAAAACCTCATCCCCACTGTAAAACATGGCGGAGGGAGCATCATGGTTCGGGGCTGCTTTGCTGCCTCAGGGCCTGGACGGATTGTTGTCATTGATGGGAAAATGAATTCCAGAGTTTATCAAGACATTTTGCAGGAAAACGTACGACCATCTGTCCACCAACTGAAGCTCTGCAGAGGATGGGTGATGCAACAGGACAATGACCCAAAGCATACAAGTAATTCAACAAAACAATGGCTGCAACAGCACAGAATACGCCTTCTGGAGTGGCCCAGTCAGAGTCCTGACCTCAACCCGATTGAAATGCTGTGGCATGACCTTAAGAGAGCGATTCACACCAGACATCCCAAGAATATCGCTACACTGAAACAGTTTTGTGAAGAGGAGTGGTCCAAAATGACTCCAGACCGTTGTGCAGGTCTGATCTTCAACTACAGGAAACATTTGGTTGAGGTTATTGCTGCCAAAGGAGGGTCAACCAGTTATTAAGTCCAAAGGTTCACACACTTTTTCCTCCCTGCACTGTGAATGTTTACATGTTATGTGCAATTAAACCATGGCAACATCTAATGTTTGTGTAGTATTATGTTCAGCAGACTGTGTTCTTCTATTGTTGTGACTTAGATGACGTTCAGAGCACATTTTATGCCCAATTCATGCAAAACTCCACGTAATCCCAAGGGGTTCACATACTTTTTTTTGCAACTGTACCTTTTGAGGCTTTCCCTCCTTATGGAGGGTGTCAGTGATGGTTTTCTGCACAACTGTCAGGTCAGCAGTCTTTCCCATGACTGTGATTCCTACAGAACCAGACTGAGAGACCATTTAAAGGCTCAGGAACCCTTTGCAGGTGTTATGGCTTAATTAGCTGATTAGAGTGGGACACTTTGAGCAGAGAATATTGCACCTTTTCACAATATTCTACTTTTATGAGATTGTGGATTTGGGGTTTTCATTAGCTGTAAGCCATAATCATCACAATTATGACAAATCACAGCTTGAACTATCTTGCTTTGCATGTAATGAGTCTATCTCATATATTAGTTTCACCTTTTAAGTTGCATTACTGAAATAAATGAACTTTTGCTCAATATTCTAATTTTTTGAGTTTCACCTGTAAATCCACTTCATATGCATCAAATGCCTATATGCCACCAAGTGAATATTGGCATCTAGGGATTGAACCTACATTAACATTCTTAGGTATGGGCTCTGAGCCTTGAGAACAGTAATCCACCTTCTATCTTACAGGTAGGAGCACGCACCTGTGCACAGTCCAAGCCACCAGACTGCCTGTCGCTGACAGCTCCAGGTCTCAACTAAGACCTCATGCACACTGGACGCCTTGGCCATCTCTCCTATATGCCTTTCCTCCCGGCAGCGACATTTTGGCAGAAAGAACGCTTGACACTTATAAACACATTTAGGAATGTCAATGTTTGTATATATAATTTATTTCATTGGCCAAAATAGTAATTTATTCTTGCCGGTGAAATGAATTAACGCTCAATCACTAAAAGTTCCTAGCATTAATGCGTGTTTAGACACATTTTGGCGCATCAAGAAGTTTTCCTGCCAAAATGCCTCTGTTCCCGGACATGGTGGCAGTGGGTTTTTTCTAAAGTTAAGCCCCCCCATTCATCCCTATCTCCATGCTTTATATAGTTGAGAAATTATTTTGAAAAACACCCCCTGGCAGTTGCCATCTTGAGTAAGGGTACATGATTCATGTATCATTTACTTCCTGGAATCCATCTGCCCTTAGTTCAGGGATAGGCTGAGCTGAGAACCCTCCCCTCCTGAA